TATTATTGTAGATGTTTTTTTAAATCACATTCTAGTGTTTTGTACTTTCTTATTTTTTAAAAATGATATTGTGAAGAGCTTATAAGATCTATATTTTAAACAAAAAATCCAATTTTTTATATTTCCTTAAATAATACATGGTAGTAATATAATTCTATTTTTTTAATTCTCTTTAATAAATTTTTTTAGAATGTACTTGTTAATGGTTTTTTATGCAATATTCTATGAATCTATTTAAAAATCAATTAACTATAAAATTTTTAAAATTATATTGTAATTTTAAAAAATATTAAAATAAAAGCTCCTATGCAATATATATTATTAAAATATACAAATTCAATTATTATGTAAGCATTCAAATAGACACATTTGATTTTTTAAGAAGTTTACAAATCATAAAAGAGTAAATAGTCTTTATATTAATAATTTATAAGGTTTTTAATTTTTTGGTTTCGAGATTTAGGCACGAAATTTGAGTTTTGGCTTAAAATCTTTATTTTTAGCCAAAATGGCTAAAATATATATATTTACCTAAAATAAGTATTACGTTTAATTTTTATCTTATATTCAAAGTATTCTAATACTACTAATGACTTTTGGAGCAATTTTATTTTGATGAATTAGATTTCTAAAATAATAATAATAATAATAATGTTTTAGACTTTTCATCTTCAAGGTTCTTTAAATTAAGTTGAAATTAGAAAACAAATATGTTGACATATATATATATATATATATATATATCAATGTATCTTCAAACTTTTAGAAATTTTCACAAACATTTTCACAAAGATTTCACAACTAATCCAACTAATCTCACAACTCTTATTTTAAATACATTTTTAAGCATGTTATTTTGTACTACAAGTTGTTTTTATTTAAGCATAAATATCTCAAATATAAGCTTCAAAAGATTATAACTATTTTAATTTAAGAAATTACATTTGTTTTGATTTTATGGATAAATTTAAATTTAAAAATAGGGTCTTTCAAATCAATCCGTATCAGATTGCTGTGGGATTCTGTGAAGTCATTTTGGAGCGACATCTTATGATTTTGGTCAGTGTGCCTACTAAACTCCATGTACAGATTCGTGAAGGGTTTGTCTGGTATGTGGAGTTGAGGATGTTTGATTCTCAAGTTGTTACACAGGGTTGATCTTTAGCATACCAATGAAGCTCCGAGATGCTTTGGGTTACTAATTATCAGTTCTAAGACACTACTTCCACACACCTTCAATTTTTTCCATGTGCCTGTTTTTCATTTCATAGTGTCCTCTCTTCAGTTTGCTATGAAAATTTGCTGGGGTGCCGGATTCACTGACTCACGTTAACATTTTACTCCACAACAGGAAAACTGGCAACACTGGGCACCACGCTGATGTACTCCGTGTGACCACCAATAATACTGGTTCTAAAGCACCTGCAAAGTTCGAGATGGTTTACCTTTTTGTGCAAATTGCAGAGATGTATCAAGGATACAAGTATAAGTCTCTGTTCGATTGACTCTCCAACTGCCCCTGTTCTGAAGTATAGGAGACAAATCTAGGGTTAGAAATCTTAGATGAATGATCGTCGGGTATAATACTGCAAAATTTAATTTTGTGCATGTTAAGTTTACATAAGCTTTCTGAACTTGGTTCAATTTAGCTGACATCCATGTCGCAGCATCAGCGTTTGGACTCTGCGATGAAATACGCTGTAGCTTCGGCCTCCACGTAGTGTTAGAAAGACTGTACTGCCCATCAGTACCTGGACTTTTCGTACAGAGGCAACTGATGTGTTGATTTTGCTCAACGCAATCCGACACGTTGACAGGTTTTATCACCCAACTATGCATGAGCCGTAATTCAATTATTCATTCGTTTCCCGGAACTACGCTTAGTCAAGGTATGGGATTGAACACATGCGCTGGAAAGTTTTAAGGTCGTGCTACTATACTTGCTGAGATACAAGCAGATCAGGCGTTGATATTTTTTTCCAACACATGAATATTATTACTTTTGTGCTTTTGAGTCTTCATCTAGAAGCTGTAGTAGATGGTGCTGGCGCTCTTGTGAGCGAAAACATCCTCACTACTATTAGGGTTTTATGATATCCAATCTCACTTTCTCCAATACAGTGAAGGTTGCACCAATAGACAGTGCTGCGAAAAAACACACCATGCCACCAGTTCCTCCGCAGAACCTGAATTGGTTTAGGAATCGAGCGGCAATCCGACGGCTAGTTGCCAAGTTCATCACCCTAATGGCACTCTGCTGACACTATTGGAAGTTATTTTTATTCATATGGAAACTTCAGAGTGTCCCAAAGCAAATAAATTACCGCTAAGCACATGTAAGGCGTAACACCAAATGTGTTGACAAGGTACTTATTGACCAGACTCTTAGTACTTGCTACACGTGGATACGCATGAAAATCTCCTAATCTTGATGCACCGGGCGGCCTGCCAACGCCAGCCGGTGACTGAAGCATTCGATCGCCCATTCGGTGAAAAGGTACAATCACGCATCCCATCTTCCATTCCTGTTGCGAAATTCAACGCCTCGTGAACATACCAAGGTCCTTCCATTTCGTTTCCTAAAAAAACAGCAAGGTCGTGTGCAGGGTGATGTCCAACTTAATGAAAATGTAATTTTCTGAAGTGTTGACTTCCAAATCCACAAGAGAGCTTGTCAGCAGCCACCCAATCCATTGAATTAAAATTGGACAAACAATATCTCTCGTAAATAACAATGGCTAGCCTAGAAGGTCTCTGGATGATATTTGATGCCGAGAAGATGCAAGAACGTGAAGTACTTGAATGTGGACGTAGTCACTTAACCAACAGATGGGCATATTAATCTGGTTCACCTTTGAATTATCAAGGGACGAGGGTTACAAATCACTGAAGACAAACTTGGCAGCAAATGCCATCCAAGCAACATTCACTACTCGTGAGGAAAAAAGGGTCCTTCCAGTGGGTGAATCATGCTTCGATTCCATCTCTGACGTCGACAGCTAGCCACCAGCGTTTTTTTGGCACCAAACAGGTACAGATAAACAAAGTAAAAAACTAAAGAAAAAGAAAAAGAAACTAAAACTAAAACTTAAGCAGGTGATACATTATGATTCAAAAAAGTACTTGGGTGGCCCATTTCACACAAGACACTGAAATCGATGGTTCAATAAAACACACACATATATATATATATATATATATATATATATATTTTAAAAAAAACTATGGACTTCTGTATGCTGCATCAGTTGAAGCAATGCGAGAGTACATTCAAGAAAACAAGTCGAATGTAATAATAACTGAAATCTTCACCTCTCATTGCAAAGCTGTAGTCACTTCTGAAACCATGTTTTCTGTTTTCTGTTTGTTTGTTTTTGTTTTTGTTTTGTTTTTGTTTTGTTTTTTTGTTTTTTTTTTTCTAAGTGAGATAGTAGGGAGCTTTTCTTTCTGGCGTTGCAATCCATGAATTAATTGCAACTCTGTCTCAGAAGCCATGATCATTTTCGTTACATGATTTTTTAGCTTATGACAACACCAAGCAGGATGAACTTGGCCGCTCCTTTGGAAAAAGCCGACAAAACAGGGGCATGGCGTCCTCTGCAAAGGCCGCAGTACGAGGTGCATATCTCGGGGGGACTGCCTCGGACTCTCATCCTCGGAGGGACAAACAACTCCAGGCTGGTGGGCAAGCCACACTGACGCATTCTCCCAGCCTTTGCTGGCCTCCAATTATTCAAGTCACTGGGGATGCAGTTCCCACGAAAAGCTAGCGCCGCATTGCCGCCTTTGTTGACGATGCCGGTGGCTATGTCCTACTCCCTCACGTCGCAGTGCCGGAAGTTGAGCTCTCATGCGAATGACAAGCCTGAAATTCTCTTCTCTCTTGGCAGCCAAGCCATCAAAAACGTGCCTTCCTTCCTGTTGGGTCGGCTGGGAAATCAGATGCATGGGAAACTCCGCTGTAGGTGTCGTTGCAGGAGACACCAGCTCCATCTCTTAAGCCAACTTCACTGAATTCCAGGTCGAAGTCTGGATAGTTATCCACTTCTTAATCCACTTTTGGCCTTGTTTTCACAACCGACATTCTATAATCTATCAACATTTTTTGTTTTTTCATAGATTATTTGGTGGGGTTGTTTTGGAGGTGCCATCATCCCACAATAGAGTTATTTTACTAAGATTTGATCAAACAAACACAGAATTGTGGTTTTATTCAGTTGAGGACTAGAGTTGCTAAAATTTTCTAAAACCCATTTACAAGATATCCTAAATGCACACCAAATAGGGTTTACAATGTACTGTAAGGGCATTTTCCTGCCTTTCCTCTCCTTTGAACTTTTACAAGAGTAAGAGTTAATGCAAGACAAGCTTGCTACACTCCAACTATGTTAATTAGGCAAACACACAAAAAATGACTGCGACAATTGCTTTGGTGTTTTAAGCAAAAGGTATAATGAAGGATAAGACAAGAGTAGATCATGAAAAAAAAGACCAAAACCATTGTTCTTCTTTCTTATGAAGCTTCATGTATTTCATATTTCATATATACACCATTAATGGGTAGCGAATTCAAACAATTCTGAGGATTCTGATTCAAAAAGAGGACGATTGTCAGATGCCTCCATGTATTTATCAACCACCCACATGTAAGCAAAGATGATTCACTTCACACAAACTCTTTTTTTCTCAGAAAGAAAGAACACTTGACAAAACCACATTTAAAACTACGGCACATAAAGCATCCAAAACCACCATTTTAAACCAACACTGCGAGTTGTGTATATTTATTTATTTTTATCCTACCACAAATAAAAGATTGAATTATTAGCAGTTTCCATGCCGGAGACTTCCTTACAGTTTCTGATTGCGTCATCCATCTAGGTGGGTCGATTCTCATAGATGAGGGTGGCTCATTTTCATTCATTCAAGTGGGGGGGGGGTTTCATCGGTCGTTGTGCGCATGAAACAGAAACAGAAGAGTTTGACGAATTCCTCGCATTTTGAACTGTATGTTAAAAGAAGTGTCGGATTTCACTCACGCAGAAACGAGGAATCTGGAATAAACGCATTTTCTTCACGAATTCTCACACAAGAATAGGGCCGCACATCGCCAGGAATTACAACAATCCTTCGAAGGGTTCGCGGGCCTCGTCGATGGTGCTCACCCACTGCTTCCTCTGGGCTGATCGCCACCCTGCTTGCTTACTTATAGACTGGTGTCCATCGTCTCACTTTGATTCGCCCTTGAGTTGTGCTGCTTTTTCTGTCATTTCTTTAGGTACCCATCTGTAGCCGAATAGATTTGTCGTTAGTTTTCGGGGTTCTGATAGATTGGAGGCTTCTGGGAGTGGTGGTGCTTTGTTTCGATTTGGAGTCCTTGTGGCTCCATCAGATTGCGAGTTGATTCCCAATTTAGACTTCCTCTTGTCGTGAATCGCGCTACGATTTTGAGAGGGTTTGGAGCATTGGAGCTGGAATCTTGCGAGAGGGATAGGACACAGTGGCTACGCGTGGAAATACTTAGTTCGTCTGCAAGTTTGGGCCTTCACCAAGAATCCAATCGGGGAGACAATTCTTGCCTGTTCTGTTTCTCCCTGCTGAGAGTCGCTGGAGGGCGTGACTGATTGCTTTGTTGATTGAGAAAGGCACATCTGGACAGTTAGTCCGCAAGTCCACAATGGTTGACACTGAGGTAAGGAGGCTTTCCGCTACTGCAGCTGCTTCCGATTGATCTTCCTTCGTATTTGTAAAGTTTAAACTCTGATGTGTGCTCATCTTTGGGTTCCAGAAAGGTCAATCGTGGACCAGAATTGAGTGCACCTAGAGTAGCTAAATTGTTTATGTTATTGAGTCCATTTATGAATTTGTTTCTTTTGTTAATGAGAGGTTGGTATTCTCCTCGTGTCTATTGCCCGTAGATATCATTGTGTGTTCAATCATGTGCAGATTTGTTACACTGGAGGTCCTCAACCACCATGGCTGGACAAGAACGCTTGGTACATTCCTGTGCAAGTTCCCAAAGAGCAAGTCGATCGAATGCCAGTGAGTAAAATCGCCTCATATTCTACCGATTTTTGAAAATGAATTCATCAAATACCCATTTCTGCATGCCGCATCTCGCAGTTTGAAAGATGTCTTTGTTGACGTCTCGTCAAATCTGAAACTGATATAATTTGGTGGGTTTGAAGGTTGGGCTGGGCTTGAACGTTTTTACTGAAACTTATCTTATCTTATACCATTCAATTGTAGAGTAGAGCGTTTACCCTCAATTTCTGGCTTGTACAGAGAATCGCATTGCATAAAGTTGAGCTCAAAGTGCACATGTGTTGCACCAAATGTGCGGAGATAGTGGCTGAAGAAATCAGATACTTGGGCGGTAAGTTCGAAAGATTCCTGTCTCATGGATCGTTTTTCTTTTGAGTGTCCAATTCATGTCAACGCGAAGAATTAACGAGTCGCCAGCGTAGAACTGATCTCTCGTGTGAGTGTATATTGAGAGTAGGATGGCAAACGTAAAACGTCCATGTGAAACGTCCCGGTCTAAACATTGCTTTTGTGTCGATGATGTTTTGCAGGAGTTTTTAATGTGGAAGTTGACCAGAAGAACTCGAAGGTGACCGTAACTGGAAGACCAGACCCAGATCGAGTGCTGAAGAGAGCAAGGAAGGTGGACAAGCACGCATCGTTCTGGCCAAAACCTCCACCCCCTGCAGTGGAGAAGGTCAAGGTTGAAGAAAAGAAGGAAGAGAAGAAAGAGGAGAAGAAGGAAGAAAAAAAAGAAGCGAAGAAGGAAGAAAAGGAGGAAAAGAAGGAAGAGAAAAAAGAAGAAAAGAAGGAAGAAAAGAAGGAAGAAAAAAAAGAAGAGAAAAAGGAAGAGAAAAAAGAAGAAAAGAAGGAAGAAAAGAAGGAAGAGAAGAAAGAAGCAAAGAAGGATGAAGCACCGCAAGGTCCCGCTGTGTCACATATGCAGTACCCTCCGCCCTATTCCACTTATGAAACCTATGGATACCCTTCGCATGGCCTCGACTACAGACCGAGCCAATCTTACACGCCTCTCTACCCCGACTATCATATGGGCTATGGCCCACAAATTCCCTACTACAATCCTTTCTACCTCAAACACGTCAAGATAGAATATTAATCGGGCAGTTCTGAATAAGCATGTCTGTTCGTGTGCGAAGCATTCATGTGTTGTGTTTGATTCTGAGACGAGGATAGTGTAAATTCAATTAGATTGCGTAGCTTGCTTACCAGGTTCAATTTGAAGTCAATGGTGCGATCAGAGCTAGGCTTGAACACAAAAGAGGATTTACAGGTTAACACTTCCATTTTCGCTTTACAAGAAAGCCATAGTCTCAAGCCGTTGTTTGGAGTTGGTGCAGTGCAGGTAGGGAATAGAGAGCTACTCACGTGCAGTCATAGCCCCACTACAAACCAAGTAAGGTGTGGTTCATTGTGAATAATTTTCAACAAAGCCCTTCCAGGAGCTGTGTGGCAAGGAGTCTACTCTAATCAAAAGCTCTTGAAGTTGGTTTTGTTTTCAATTTATGGTTGCTCAAATCCCTTACAGTTGAATTTGATTAAACTTTAGCATTAGGTACAACCTCTATGCATCGTTCACGCGTATGTCCAGTTGAATGACTGTAATGGTAATTTACGGCATGTTTGTTGTCCCTTCCGACCTGATTCTGAACTCAGAGCTCAGATATTGCCAGGCACACATGCAAATGTACACAATGTCGTGGATGCAACTCTCTGTGAAGCCCCTAAAAAGTTGTGGCTCGTCCTACAAAGTTACGCAGTACGTGGTGCTAATTCTTGTGAAGGAATCACGGAAAGACATTATCTTTATGTTCGAGATGGAACATCCCTGTAGTTGTGCTGTCATTTTCCTTTGAGAACTACCTAAAAATTCGTTTTCTACATCACTCTCCCGTTCTTTCTGTAGAAAACTGAGCGATGGAATCTGTATTCAACATCAATATGCGTTGGATAGACGGACTGAACAGTATTTTCATAGGTTTGTCAATTTCCTAAAGATTCACTTGTTTTGTGGATTGACAACCTCATGTGTGTTCTATGCATCAGGACTCTATTGAATGTGGGTGAAAAGTAAAATTTTCAGCTAAAAGTGGTAGAGACAAGATCTCGAACAAGACTAGTTGAAGATGCTCTTTCAACGTGGCTTATTCGAGAGCTTGTCTTCACCAATTAAAGCTAAGTTGAAGAAGCTAAGTTGAAGTTCAGCTAAGTGGTTATCTTCGAACCCAGTTAAAGAAACTGGTCGTTGATTTCTGTGCTCACTGTTGAAGAAGCGTTGGCATAGAGAGCCTGATCACCGGATGTTGAGAATCTCTACTGCACTATAAGGTTAAGCTCTGAAGCAATCAAATCAGAAGCTGCGAAGGTAATGGCTTTTACGTTGAATCCTGCAACCATATCTTTCTGTTTCCTGATCTCATCATAAACCGCTGTTCATACTCAAAGACTGCCTAGTGCTCACACAAGAATAACCTACTGTGAGAGTGTAGATTGACCAAGGTTGCCAGCCACAAGGAGTATGATGGTCGCAGTGACGTTTTCCAGGTAACTTCTGCTCGTGTTTTTGTGGATACTTGCTCAAAGTGCCATATAGTGTACACCAGAATGAGAATTATTCGAGCCAATAAGTTACGTAGAAACATTGAAGATGTGCTCAATGTTCTTGAGGCTGGTTGAACATTTTCAGCAAGCTATCTCTCAATTAGCCGAACCAGTCCTCAGCATGTAGAGCAACTTCCGTTAGGCATTTAAGCTTATTTCCCAGAACAGTATGACACGCAAGTAGAACATATCCTTCATTACCGAAACCCACACAACATTCTCTAGTGTGTGAAGAACCCACGTATTTAGGATAATGTGCATCACTTTCTTTGATAACATTCACGTAACATTCTTTTTTTTGATAGAATTCACACAACAACCTTGCGATCTAGAGAGGGTCAATAGCATTCACTGCTCTTACATGTGACTACAAGAGGCATGGACTGTAACGAACAAGGAGAGGCTCCAACCACACTCCAGTGGTTGAGAACAAAGTTGAAGATTCCGTTTCTTTCATTTCAAGAGTGTGTTGTCAGCAGTCCAAGATTTTTTTTTAGTGGTTTGTACAGAAGATCATGTTGTGCGTTGGCCCTAGCGCTGTACTTTTGAAAAGTTTCATTTAATGACTAGATCCACACACTTCCATGTAACGTTGCGCAATGGAACTCAGTCCATGAGGACTTTTAGTGGAACAAAACAGCACAAGATGTGGCAAACATGAACATTCTCCAAGGTTCATTCCGCAGGATGTTTTCCTCTTTGATATTTTAAACATTCTGATGCTGTGTTGAGCTCTTGAGTACACGAATTAACATGTTTGTGAATATATTGATAATTTCAAAAATTTATATAGAACCGATCAAAAAATCACACAAGTTCATTTAAGAAAAGAAAAAAATTATAGATAGATAGATAGATAGATAGATAGATAGATAGATATGATTATATTTTAACAATTAAAAAAATATTTTCCTATGATAACATGTTGAATATATATATATATATATATATATATATATTCAAATTTATAATAGAAAAACATTCACAAAAAAATTACTTTTTATAAAATTATTACAGCGTAAAGTAAGGATTTTTGACAGTAAAATTATACAAATGATTTGAATAAAAATTAAGAAAAACATCACATATAGATTTATTATACAATTCATTAAACCTCATTATGCATACATTGAATATACAGAATAATTATGCTTTTAAATAATATAATTTTTTATTTTAATATTAGCTTTTATTATTTTATGCTGTTAATTTGTTATATAATATTGGAAATTATTTGATTTTTCTTTTTATTTTGCACATACCTCAATTGTATGTTTTTTTTCTAATCTTTTCACATGTTGTTTGTAAAATAATATTTTATTTATATTTATTTGATTATAATTAGATATGAATATGATATTTTAATTAATGTGCAATTTAAGTATGTGTTTTTTAATTCATTTGAATATAAATAATATTAACCATGAAAAAAATATTTTTGTAGGAATTATATATATATATATATATATATATATGTATGTATGTATAGAGAGAGAGAGAGAGAGAGAGAGATGTATACTCATAATTTTTGAATATTTTAGAATTAAATTTTATTAGTATTTTTTATACATTTTATTATTTTTTATTTCATTGATTTGGGTCTTTTGCATTAAATATTGTAGTTTTCAATTTTTTGAGAGATCTTAGTTTTTCATTCTTAAGCACATGTTATACTCATGTAGGAACATGTTTTTTATTTTTAAATTATTTTCTTCTTATATAATCACATATTTTTATTTTTAATCATGCATTCAATTTTTATATTTTTATTTTTACCAATGTGATTAGTTACTAATGAATATTAAAATTTTCATATAAATTTTGTTGACTCAAATAAATTGTTTGATTCAAATAATTTATAAGATTCAGATAATTCATAAGATTCAGATAAATTTCTAATTTTTTGTATAATTATGTTTAATTAGAGATTGTACTTGTGTAGAATTTACAATGAAGTAAGATTATTTCCAAGTTCAATAGATGATCATTGGTAATAGATTGGTTGATATTTTAATTAATACATGTATGTACACATTGTACATATGTAAAAAAAAAAAAAAAACAACAGATTTGCTTTCTTCTCAACAAAAAAGTAGAAGTTGTCATCCAAGAAGAGATTAAAAAAAAAAGACTTGTCACATTTTTATTTAAGATATTTTGGATCTAGTTTCAAAGAATAAATTTTAGGTAGTAAAGCTACAAATATCGCCCATTAATGTAATTAGTATACTATGCTAATCAAATAAATATTTTTATTTTTTATTTTTATTCAAATGGCATAAAACATATGAATATAAATGTGATTTTTGATACGTATTTACAATGTTAATTTTCTCTTTGATATGTTTATAGTTTTAAATATTAAAAGTATTTATACTTAATATTTTGTGTGTAATACATTTGATATAGTGGTACTATATTTCTATTCTAAAATTTTCTTCCTTTACTTTTTCCTCAACTGTATGAAGTTTCTTCAATGCTTTTATTAATAAGTACATAAAAAATTAATCAAATTAAACTATCTTTCAACAGGTCACATTTTTTAAAAGACAGAAAAGCTTTTGGATAGTTAAGAACATAGATGCCAATGTAGCAGAACAATTAAATTTTCTCTCCTCTATTTTGACAAATACTGGGTATACCCATTGCTATGGATAAGAAATCACTTAAGAATTCCATAGAAATCTTATTAATTGTAAGAGGAATTTACAAATAGGAGAACAAATCTGAAAATATTTACAAACAGGGGAACAAAATCAAAATAGTTACAAATAAGGTAATACTTTTTGTTTGCTTGCTTTATTTGTTGACAATTTGTACAGTAGTCTAGCAAAAAGATTTGCTAGTGAACAATGCAACACACCACTTTTTTGAGTTCAACGACTGATTGTTGATTGCTCTACAAATTCCTTTAAAACATAACTTCTGCGCAAGAAAACATTCCAAAGAGCTGTCAATTTCGAACTTGAAATAGTTACAATTGTACAAAACCTTTCAAAAATGTTGTGCAATTTCGTTTTTTGCAAATGAATTCCTATGAAGAAAATGTTTTTTTTAATAACCATAACTCTGCCAAACACAGTCAAGTTCATGCTCCATTAAATTCCCCTCCTTATAAACTGCATACAGAATAGCATGATTAATTCACGCATAGATATTATACTATACACCCAAGCTCATAAATCTGCCCCATCAAAATGAATTATAGTTCAGAAAACTATGCTTTTGGCATTCTCCATCAATCAAAGCCACATGTACACTTCATGTAAGTCAGAAAATTTATTATTATTTTTAAATGAAAGAAAAGGGAATCTTTTTTTCTTCTGTTCATCCATATCTTCAACTAGTCCTAAACTCCAGCTTCCAATGATGAGGAAAACTATTTAGAGCTCATTATGTCCCTACCATGATATGTTCACTTCTCCTGGATTCTGATGTTTATTTTAGATTTTATTTTGTATAATTTAAAAAAGTTTAGAAAAACCCTAAAGAGACAAGAAAAGTAGACCTTGATTTCATGGGCCCTGTGAGAACAGTTGTTGGTCACTGTGGTTTCATTTTTAACTAGCAAATCCCTTTCCATGGCACAAGGAGAATAATGCCTTCAATGGCTATTTCTAACCTTCTTTTGTTCTCTTGTGGATGGGCAACAGCTCAAATTTTCATGCTGTCTACTTTGTGAGGATGAGAAAATCTGCTGGTTTATGATGAGGACTTACAATTATATCCCTCTGAAATCAAAAATATATTACTATCAAGCCACAAAAACCATGTCTCCTTTACTTCAGAAGCAGGTGGAGCATTATAGGCAACCTGTTAATGAACTGGTCCCACTCACATCAACATGTGGAGAAGCCTGCCTCAGCCTTGAAAGCTTTGAAACTCACCATTCTAAAGCAGGGTAG